AGATTCAGTATCATCCAACCCTCCTTTTTGCAAAAAAAAAAATTATGATTGCATGATTTGTAATTGCGAAGATATTTTAAAATTAAAAATACATAATAATTGAATTAGAATCCATTTTAGCTATGTAAGCGTTTCGAAATTCTCAGAATTAAAAAGTAAAAACGGATGGGAATAATAATTATTCCAGCTCTTTTTTACTTTTAATTCTGTTCATACTTTCGAGACGCCATATTTATTTTTAAATTTTCTATTCTCTTGGAATTTATTTCCGTCTTTTTTTTGTGTGTGTAATTATTTTAACCTTTTATTATTCATTCGAACTAATCGACTATAAAAGAAATGGTCGAACCTCTTTCATAAGCAATAGTCAAATTGCATTGAATAAACTCCACTACAAGCTTAAACGTTTATCTGTTCTTTCTTTAGTTCGTTCGTGAAGGCACCCATAGTTATCTCCTCTTCGAATTAATTGAATATAAAAGAAATGGTCAAACCTCACTTATGCATTGAATAGAGTTCCACTACACCCTTAAACGTTCGTTTGTTTTTGCTTTACACCCACTCTACAAGTAAGATTGCATAATTTTATAAATCCGCCATATTCTTTGTGGCAGAGTTTGACATCACTGATAATGTCGAGTATTGAGAATTAAATTGTCTTTTAAAAAAAAAAACAATTTAGGAAGCGGGCATTTTGCGTTGGCGACACGAAGCAAAGAATCTCAAGAATGGAAAAAAATGGCCATTTGAAGCGAAAATTTAATGACTTATTAGCCGAAACGGATTATATGTCGAAGGTTTCTCTTTGTTACAAACAGTAACAAAACGAAGGCGAGAGAAAAATCAATCCCAAAATGCATCATTTTATTTTTCATGAATATTCATAACTTGGTAACTGGCCAATCAAATGTCGCTATTGAAATTTTTCTTCTGCCTCGACTGAAAATATATTGACCTGCGTTTATTTCCGGAGAGCTCTGTTGTCTAAATTTAAATAAACTCTTTAGTCTCCAATGAGTAACAAACTCCAATTACATTATGAACACGGGGCATAAATACATTGGAAGGAGATTAATATCAGATTGCAAAAATATTGTCATTATGCACGGACAGGAGCAAAACTGGTTAAAATTATGGATTACATATTAGATACAGACGAAACTTTCCAGCGAAAAATTGGTTTACTATGTATTTTCTTTTTCTATTTTTGGTGGGTGTTAATCCTTTCACCCGCAAGGAAGGCGACAAATCCACTAAGACGCAAGGGGTTTGCTAAATGTGAAAAAACATATATGAGGAAAAAAGGAAAACGAGAGAAAACAATTAACGAAGTGGAATTAAGAAGATAGATGATAACGATTGAAATGTCATTTAATTTTTTGAAGATTAAAGTTGATTAAGAATGAATAAGCCAGAAGAGAGTTCCACAGGCGAGAAGTGCGATAGAAGAAACTATCAGAATAGAACTTACGGTTGCATCTAGCAATTTCAACTATAAAATGAGATCTAGATCCCAATGTAGCACTGGGATTAAATTCGTAAAGCCAACGTACCAAGAAAGCTCATCTGAACAATTACCATGGAAATATTTATATGAATGGCACAGGGAAACTATGTAACGACGGTGAGAAAGTGACTTAAGCCGAGACTGATAATATTGCAAACTCTTCTTTGGATTTTACCAGGAATCTCTAAATAGATAGATAGAAGCACCAGACTAGATTTCCGTACTCTCATGAAAGAAATCTAGATAAATGACCAACTTAAGTAATACAAACTAGTTTTATTAAATAAAGAAAATCTATTTGCCTACAAAGAGTGGGTTGCTGCTTCTACTGATGTTGAAGCACATGCCATGAAGTTGCTGAACTCACTTTGTCCTTCCTGCCCTCGCGGTCTTGGTGTCCTCCAGCTTCAGATTAATCTGATGAGGGTCCTGAGGGACGACGTCCTTCCAGCGGCTGCACGGTCTGCCGCGAAAAGCACTTCAATCCTCCCGCTATCCTCAGCCCCTTTCAAGAGCCAGATCAGGCCGAAAATAAAGCACTGTTACTATTTATGAGCGTGAGCTGCCCGATCTTCACTTTCCACTCTCGATAGAGTCAAAAAGCATCTCGGCGCCCTTGTAGGCGACTAATTCTTTTCCACTGGGCAAGCCCTTCCCACAGACGAAACATCGCAAGCCTCTGACTGCTCTATCGCTATTTCCATGGTTGGTTAGGTCGTAGTCAGCGAGCTGAAAACCAAATGGTTGTTGTCTGGAAATAAAGAGATCCAAGGATCTGTAAATGCAACGCCCAGAAATTTACAACAGTCAAATGAGAATATTACTTGTACGGATGATAATGGGTATGTCCCCATTCACATAAATACAGTAGTAAATACTGTACGTTGGTCTGCAGTTGGAGATTCGTCTCCGGCTGTGCTGGTCAAACTTTCTGCCTCCGGGCTGAGAGGAGCCACAGACGAGGCTATGTCGAAGTGCAGAGTCTCGTTTCGGGAAACAGTTACCCGACCCTGTTTTATACGGTGTCTACGGGGAATTTTTCGCCTAGCCTACGGGCTCGGACACCCCACATTAAATTCGACCTTGTGCCACATCTGACCGCGTGGGTTGGTTGATAGATATCCTGCAGTTGGAGATTCCTTATGGAATTCACTTGACTCACTTCTAGCAGTTGACTACTTCTTTTACGCACGGCTAGCGAATCTTATATGCGTTGTTCTTGTTCTAAGTATTATTGTTCATTACCAACCTTCATGCGTTCATTCTATTCAGTAACCTTCCCTAGGTTACAACATCATTATAAAACAAAAATTCAGTCTTTAATCCATCAGCACATCAACATTTACAGCATACTCTGTAACTAAATTAAGTTTTAAAATAAATCATTAGACAATAGTGATCCTAATCGATCACCCATACGAAATGATACTCTGTTGAACGGACTCACAAGAGGATGCTTCCCGCGGTCACTACAATCTTAACCACTTCAAGTCTAGGGTTAACCGTTATCTTTCCCACCTATCCTCATGAACTATGCCCCTTGTTCTTACCGCTCTCATAACAACCGCGTGTAGTATCTCTCTGTATTGAGTGGCTCTTAGGCCTTTTGTAGAAAAAATGGGGATGAGAGGGGAGTCAAAAAGTGCAGTGCGGTGCTCGCCGACAGGCCAGCTATTTTTCTACTTCTTCTTCGGTCACCCCAAGGAAATGGATTGCTTGGCTCCCTTTCTCGGCCGTTACACGGGGCAGTTGTGAAACAGACACCAGCTCAGCCGCGCCTACTTCGACTTCCTCTTTGTCCGTCTGTCAATCCGTACGTCCAACTCTATTGCACGCAGTCTGCCAAATGACTTCGGTTCTCTCGTGCTGCTGGCACACCGCTTTTTATACTATTCCAATACGGCCAAAATTTGCATGTGTGCAAATATCGTCTCATTTTGGACGAGATAAATTGCGTCTTCAATAGCGGCTATATTTCTTTTTATAATCACTTTGCAGGCAAGACACGTTCGCGCTCGTTTCGAATTCTGAGGTAAGTCATGTCTTTCGTCACACCTTGTATTGGACGAACATTAATTTTCAAAAAAGCAGTCTTGCTCGCAGATCTTTTCTGGGTAGAGTCATTACCAATGAATAAAAGTGGGATCCGTATAGATATACTCCTTATAAGGAAACAATCAGCATTCATTCATCTTAACCTTTTCAAATCTAGGTTTAATCTTTATCTTCCTCATGAACTGTACCCCTTACTTCTTAATCTTTAATCCTCTACCTTGCGTTGTCGAGCCTGGTCAATACCTAAATGGGTGACCGCTTGGGAACATCAGGTGCTGTAAACTTGTATGTGAAGATGGTGTAACGGATAATGGCTCGGAATTGTTAATCGGAGAGCGGAGTTCCAATTCCCGTCGGGTACATCATATATTAAATACTTTTGGGAAAGGATATGAAACCACCTATTATTCCTCCAGCTATAGGTTAATTTGTAATACTTGCATCACTAAACCATTATTATCTAAAAAAAAAAAATTCTTACAATCTAAAAGTATTTTCTAGCTTAAAATAACCTGCAAAAGCTTAAAAACGAATCAATCAAAACACTCTACCTTGAGTAACTCCTGGGTCTTGTACAAGGTGAAAATTATTGTATAGAAAATTTATGAATAGCTATGGAGACGGAATGACCCGAATTCTCTTTCGAAAATCGATGCCACGTGGATTTATTGCACTTCGTCGGGTTAGATGGCGCCTTACACGATATTCCTTTGACTTTTGGCACGTCACAGTATACGCTGGTATGATATTAGTTGTTTTTTTTTTTTCATTCATGATGAGTCATCTGGTTTGCGAGTTGTCCTCTATTTGGATTGATAAAAGAAAAAAAAAAGATTTTGCTTCAATCTCATTTAAAGGTTGACCAAGTGCTCATGTTTACTTTTCCTCCTCAAGAAATAGCCATTACTTCCACACCAAGTGTTGCTTCACACAAGCGTTGGATTGATACGGCGAGCAAGAAAAGATATGGCACCTCGGCAGAAGACTTCACCAACGCGGAAAGGAGGAAAGAAACGTTAAAAGTTAATCTGTTTAATGCGCTCGAAAATGGAGTTTCAGTGGAAAAAAATATTTCTGAAAAGATTAATAAAGAAAAGAAAATCGATGCTTTCAGAAGAGAAAGCTAATAACATCATCTTATTTTGACATCCAGTTTTTGTTTTTCGCTTTTTTCATATTTTTTTTTCTCGGGGGTTGAATATGTCTGAAGTCGATTTGCAAATCTTGTTTCGGGGAAAAGTGTCTACGTTTTAGGATTCTAAACTGATCTCTCTTCACACAAGTGATAAATGTGCTTCTTTCCAATGACATCTGCTCGTAAGCATTTTATTCTGTTTCTCTTTCCATCAAAGTCAGTTTTAAGAGGGGGAGATGATTTTGGGTTTAAAAACGGATTTTTCAAAAAAATCAGTTTCGTTGATAGTGAGATGATCAAAACATAGATAGATAGATAGATAGATAGATAGATAGATAGATAGATAGATAAATAATGAACAGATTGAGATAGATGAAAATTGAAATAGATAGTTGGAAATTGCAATAGATAGATAATGGATAACTTGAGATAGCTGCAATTAATAGACAGATAATGGACAGATTGAATTAGATGCAAATTGCAGTAAATAGATAGATTAAGAACAGACTGAGATAGATGCAAAATAAAATCGATAGATAGATGCAAATTGCAATAGATAGATAGATAGATAGATAGATAGATAGATAGATAGATAGATAATGGACAACTTTAGATAGATAGATAGATAGATAGATAGATAGATAGATAGATAGATAGATAGATAGGAGCTGATGACTATCCATTTGTACAGTGCAGAATATGAAGGGCGTAAAAGAAACAGACATTTTTTTATAAAAGGACACACTGAAATCACATTAAATATTGACGTCCAAAAATACGTGATAAAGAATCAGTTTTCTTCAAGCTCTTTCTCCATTAGCTGCAAATTGATTCAAATGACGGAATAAGATAAAAATTCATCGTCTATCGGCTTTACTTAGAGACATGGTAGCTTTCATACCTAAAATCTTTCTGACAAATCTTTCCCGTAAATGTAAACTCTTAGCTGCGTTAATGTGCCTAGCTTTCAGCGTCGATATGCATTTTAATCATTGCCGAACATTTTTACCAAATACTTATAATAATGGACGTTACTGGCCCTGAAACGAAGACCCAAACTGTGCTACTAACCATCTTGTATCATTTGTCAGCTTCTGAAGAAACTCTATATAAATCCTGCCCACTAAAGATACCGCGACATTCCCACTGTCTGCTCTGATGTCAGAACAAATCCTTCCGTCTCCTTGCCAGGTTCCCTAGATTTTCCAAGAGTGTTGACTTGTAGCTAAGCGGTCTTTGTTCACAAATCATCGCATTAGCAAGCTAATTGTCTCGTCTCGTCTCTGGCTTCTCGTGGTTTCTCAGCAATTCTTCGCGCCCCAGACGGAACGAACGGCGGAATATTTTCTTATTTATTCTCTCGCTTTATATCAAGATGGTGGCTGGGACATAGTCGTTTCTTGGAGGAAGAGATGACGCGGGGGAGATGCAGAGGACAGATGTCAATAGGTTGGCCAACTACCCATCACCATAAGGTGGCTCTCTCCCTAAAGAATCTGAAAGCCATGAAACGTCTTCATCCATCTGTTTTTTGCAACTGTACTGATTGTCTTTTGTCTTTGTTTTTTGGTGAGTGGGTCGTTTGTGGATCTTATATTAAACCGGAAACAAAAACAATCACTGACCCATCAGAATTCCACATCTACGGAAGTAAAACCACCCCGACTCAGTTCGGGTCGTCATATTTCTAACCAGTACGGTTGGGTTTCGCATTTTGGGGCCAATCTACAGAAACTATGACCTCGAATTGGAATTAAAGCAATGTCGTCACATATCTTGGATCTATCATAAAAAAGATCTAAAATGTGTAATGAATTAAAAGTAAACACTTCAAAATCCTCGGCTTATGGATCAGTTATAACGAAGTTAGTATAGAAAATGAGAAAATTGAACACAGAATGGATTGTGGCAAGGGTTGTGCTAGAGGTTGTGCCAGAGGTTGTGCCAGAGTTACCTTTGTCCCAAATCGCAAGATGCTACAAAACCAAGACATAAAACTTAAGACCTCGGGTCATGTTCTTAAATAAGCTTGTCAAATCTAGACTTTCATATAAATATCCTGCATGGCATCCAACTCGTTCACTAATATCTAAAATACCAACTATATGCCGTCGATATCGTCGTATCTTCTAGACTGGCGCTACAAAATCACAAGCAAATAACTTTACTAAATAACAGAAACCATATCACATGAAGTCTTTCACTAGTAGCAACAACTAAAATGGGTAATGCATTTAACAAGAAGTAATAACATAATCAAGGTGATATCTTTCCACACTACTTTAAACAAGCGTCCTGGGTATGACGATAAACTATATCCGCATCCTGGGTATGACGATAAACTACGTCCAACAACAAAGCCTCTGATAATATGTTTTTGAAAAATAATATTACGAGCTTTACGTCTTTGAAAAAAATAATATTACCAGCTATACGTTTTTGAAAAAAAATAATGATATTAGTAAGTATACGTTTTTGAAAAAAATAATATTACCAGCTATATGTTTTTGAAAAAATAATATTACCAACTATACATTTTTGAGAAAAAATATTAAAAGAAATAGATTTTAGACAAAACAAAAATATTACCAGGAAAAAGAATTGTCGGCATTAAATGACCCATTGAGGTTGATATACCGTAAAACAAAACAAACCAAGTCAAACTTTAAACAAAAGGTTAGTAAGGAAATCCTCATCAATAGTAGAAAGATCGAAAACAGTGGACTTGAGAAAGCTATTTTCATGAAAAATTGTTTCAAGAGGAAGATTTTATTAATTTCAACCGACAGTTAAGCTAACCGTTCGGTCAGTGAATGCCAAATGTTTCCTCATAAGGAATATGAGTATAGAGATCTCATTTTTGTTACTAGCAATGATTCTGCCCAGGAAAAGTCTGGTAGCAAGTCTTTTTTTAAATTAATATTCACCCTATACAAGGCCCAAGGTCCAGTCAAGGTAGAGTGTTACTGAAGGCAGTTGTTCTGAGATTGGTAAGAGTAAGGGGCGCATTTTATGCGGACGTGTGGGAAAGACGACAGCTAACCCGACACTTGAAGAACTTAAAATTGTTGTGTTCAGGAAAGCTTCCCCCTGGAATTTTTTTCCACAAAGGAACAGTTCTTGGGAAGGAGCTATCCGAGTGAAACCTGGTCGATTACTTTGTTGGTTAAACGGCACATCAACTCCTTATGGGTTATTTAATGCCGAAATTTAATTTTCTTGAGAGCTTTGAAGTTGATTGATTGATTTGTTTAACGGCATATCAACATCTTATGGGTCTATTTATTTTAAGTAAGTTCCTTTAATATTGTGTGATAAGCTTAATCACATTATCATTGAAAGACGAATGGAAATCACCATATTGATACATGTTTAAATCCAATCTAAGCATTCGGCTGACACAAGCCATTATCAAAGATGACAATTTCAATAAATCAAACAACAACGAACGAAACAACAATGATAGTCTGCCCTTGCTGCATGAACATTTCAAGTAACGACAAAATCGTATATACGAGACGCAGAAGTGAAAATCGCGTCGCAGATCGTGACGTCACACATGACCACGCGAGAGTGGAAAACGAGAAGTATTAAGCATGGGAAGGCGTTGGTATAAACCAATGGGTTCTGTTATAAATTATAGACATTTCAGGATATTTGTGGAGATTTCATAGTTTATTTTGTTCAGTTTTAAGTTTCAACTGTTTTATATATAAAGGTTCAAGAATTTTTAATTTTTGTTTATTGTTTTCATGATTAAGTAGTTGTGTTGTCAACAAGGATTTTCCGGAATTGAGTACGCGGGCAGGCATGTTGTTTTAATGTCTAAAAATGTTAGAGTTATCATTTACTTAAAATAAAAACTTGTCTATATTATTTAATGAAACATACATTAATATATATATATATATATATATATATATATATATAGATAGATAGATAGATAGATAGAGAGAGAGAGAGAGAGAGAGAGAGACGTTTCGATCATGAATCCCACTATAGTCAGGTAGATCACTTGTTGAATTGCAAAAAAAAAAAAAAAAAAAAAAAAACTATATAATGAAACTTAGCCATTCAGATCGAGGAAAATATTTGAAAGAGAAATTTCCCTGTCTAAACTAGCCAAACCATCATTGGTATGTGTCCGGACATTTAATGTTTAATTTCCATTCACTAGACGAATATTTTTCCGCTTCCGTTGCTGAATCGCCATCTTGAATTCTTACAGTGTCTGACAAGAGTTCGATACAAACTAATAAAAAAATACAACTTAATTAGTGGTTAATTTTGCCGTAGTTATTGAAGAAGTCCTCTCAAGGTGATCGTGTCAAAAATACGACAGGACTTTCTTTCCATCCCAATAAATACGAAATATATGGAAAGTAGTTTACTTATTTATAATAAGATCTAATAGTTTTTTTTTTTTGTTTTGTTTTGTTTTTTTTTTTTTTGTTTTTTAGTCTTGACGGACCTGGATTCATTGTAATTCTCCTGAATGATTCTATTAATCACTATAACGTGAATTTGTCTTACGCAAGTAAAAATACTTAATACCTCTGTTGTATTACATCGAGCACTGTTTTATTAATACTATCACTATATGTGCAATCAATATATATATATATATATATATATATATATATATATATATATATATATATATATATATATATATATATATATATATATTTATATATCCCTCCCGACCATCCAACACGGGTTCGAATCTCACTAGGGTTGATTTGTCAGGTAGATCATTTCTTGAGATCGGAGAAGTGCCTCAAAGCCTATATCTGCTCTGTTTGGTATCTGAAACGTAAGCAAAGCAACCACAAAAGAATTAAAGGATCCGATATTTTCTTTACTTCAAATGTTATTTTGGATGCCCGTATTTGAAATAGAGTGTATATTACATCTATCGGCCAGCGTTTTTGAGAAATCTTATTAAAGAACATGTGCTAAAGTTTGAAGTAAAATGTAACATTTTTATCTGACCTCTTCGTGACTGTTTTCGGTGTTCTGATAACAATAGGCACGACTGTCACCTTCTTGTTCCACAAATCCCTCAGTTCCCTGGGAAAAGACAAGACAGTCATGCACCTCTCAGCTTCTTACGTAATTCTTCTTCTTCTTCTTCTTCTTCTTATTATTATTATTATTATTATTATTTCGTTTGATTTATGTTGTATAACCAAACCTTCCGGGTCCCAACCAGAGATCTAAGGTTAGAAATCGCACCATGACATTTTCACTGACCCTTTTTCTAAAAACAATAATCGTAAAACAACATAAAACACAGACATTTTACATAAAGGGTGCGATGGGCAAATTGTCGCCAATTTATATATTTAATTTTGCGCATGCGTGTTGTTTGTTGATTTTTGTCCATTGCACAGTACAGTAGGGCAATTGGGCACAGTCTGTTAAAAAATGAAGAGCGCCATGATACAATTCACTCCTCCAGAAACGGCATGCTGTACTGGTCGGCATTCGGAAGCTCCAAATACGAATATTTCAATGTCCTTGGATGTCAATCTGAGGAGAGTGTAGAGGATTTAGAAAAAGTTGCATGAATCTAATTGTCATTACAAAGGTACGACAGATGGAAAAACTCACTCTGATCGTTCTGATAAGAAAAGAACTCCCAAATTTGTTGGTGAGGGCCTCAGACGCAACACGTCGG